AGACAGTTTTTCAACTTACAGTCTTGTCTCTATCATAATCTTAGTATCCTCTAATTTTTCTTGCAACTGATTAGTTGCAAGAAACTGATTGGTTTCTTGATCATTTCTAATTTGCAAACTAAATATGTTTTCGGTTTGTTCATGAGACTTAATTATGTGTAAGTGATTATCATTACATTCTCTTTAATTGTTAATGAGAGAAACTATCTCCCTGACTGAAAATCTATTTTATTTTCATAAACTTCACAAACATTCATATATACAGATAAATAGCTCCAAAGAGTAACAACTCTAAATTGGAATAAAAATGTTTCAAAATGATCAATAAGTTCAGGAAAATGTTTTTCAAACTCTTTTACTTAGATAATATTTAGGTTTAAGTCAACAAAAGCAATTACCAACTTACCTATATACTTATATGTCAAACATATGCATTTTATTTACTTCAGTTCACATTCTCAATTCATTCTGAATATATAAGGGTTTTTCATACAGTCGAAGTTGGCTCTTGAATTAGAATAGCAAGCAAATGTAATATTACACCACGTCACTGAGCATATTATGACAATAAACCTCTTTTTCAAAATGTTTTGTTTTGGATAACATCACATCACATTCTTGTACATGTTATGTTTCCTTTGAACAACTGATCTATAAATTGAGGTATTTTGTTATATGAGTTAACTCTTATTTAACTAAAAACTTTCTTGCTGTATTTCTTTAGTTAGCTTTCCTATATGTATTTTTCTTCATTTTCATGGCATATTGTGCATTTTTCTTCCTTCTTTTCATCATATTCAAGATTTTGTGACCCAACATAAAAACTAAAACAACAAAGGCTTTATTTTGAACTAATGTATTTTTTTAGCTTACATGGTGACAGATGACATGAGATCCAAAGAATTTTTTCATAAACCTGAATTTTAGTTGAACCACTTCTCTTATAAAAATAGGTAGTATGTGGTATATTACTGATGAAATAAGAAAAAGGCAAAACTAATATTAATGTACTTCCTAAATCAAATGGTATGCTCACATAACAATAGAAAATGAAGAATTTTTCTGAAATCGATCAAAAATGGTTAAATATATTTGATTCAGGCAGGTAGTAGCACCATCCATAGATGTACTAAATTAGACCAGACACTAAATGGCAAAGAATGGACCATTCAACTGATCTTGTAGCTTGTTATAAGAGATAACAAAAAAAATTACACCAGTTTGAGAGGCAGAATCAGGAGCAGGAGCAGGACCAGGGCCAAGGTCTTTTGCCTGTAGGTGCAGAATGTCTTTTCCCTCCATGAACAGAAAGGGAGCACCTTGATAGTTCTGCTGGTTTCATGAACTTAACTGATTTTATAGGGATGTGAAGGAAGACTTTGTTCTTAGTATCACCATTTCTATAATATTTTACTCTTATGATTTAGAGAATTGTACTTCTTAATTTCAAGATTAGCTTTATCTAGATTTTACCTAAACCTACATCTATATGCATGTCAATATGTATATACATGTTTTATGTATATTTTGCATATTCATATCTATAACAAAACATCAAAGATTTTATTTGAAAGGAATAGTCTTAAAGTTTCTTAGTCATCAGGTAACACTTTTCCTTCTAGTCAATGCAATCTGAATATTATAGGGTTATGATACAGAGAGATGAGATATAGTTGTGCAGTTTCATTATTTGCATTTAGTTATTCAAAGTCAACAGATGTTCTAGAGGACTAAGAATAAAAACTATTAGGAATGTTTTTAGATTGAAAACTGTTGTGCATGTCGCTCCTAATAAAAGACATTATATTTTATTATACTACATTTTATAATTTAATGAATTTTTATCAGACTGAAGGAAATTAGCCTGGGTGCTAATTGACTAATGAATAATTAGAGAAGATATGGTGTATGTGTGCAATGGAGCATTATTAACTACAAAGGAGAATGAAATTATGCTATTTGCAGGAAAATGAATTAAACTGGAGATCATCATGTTAAGCAAAATAAGCCAAGCTCAGAAAGACAAACATTACCAGTCAGACATGGTGACTTATTCTTATAATCCAAACTACTCAGGAGATAGACATCTGGAGGATTGTGGCTCAATGCTAGCCTGGGCAAAAAGTTGGTGATATGCCACCTCAATCAATACCAGGTATGGTGGCAAGTACCTATAATCTCAGCTACAGGGAGGTTTAGAAAAGAGGATTACAGTTGGAGATCAGCCCCTCAGGAAAATCAAGACCCTATATGAAAAATAACCTAAAAAAATAAAAAGGGACTAAAATTATGGCTCAAGGGATAGAGCACTTGCTTAGCAAACTCCAGCCCTGTCCTTCCCCAAAGACAAATATTATGTGTTTTCTCTCATATTCAGCATCTAGACCTAAAAAAATAATAATATGAATGTAAAAGGAAGGCTTTTGAGACAAGAGAAGAAAGAAGAAGGTGATGGAGGGATGAATAGCATTAGAGTACTTCATACATTCTATGAAAATAGAATAATAAAACCCATTAAGATTGATTTTACAAAAGGAGGTATGAGGAGAGGGGATAAGAAAGAGTAATAGAGGGGACAGAATTGATTAAAGTGTATTTTATGCATGCATGGAAATATAACACTAAAACCTATTTGTACGCTTAATATAACCTAATAAAGAAAACATTTTGAATTTAGTGGAAAAGTATCTTTAAATTTCAAATAAAGGCTGGTATCTGACAAGTGGGAGAGTCTCTTTCATCATTTCCCACAGGCTCACAGCATCTGTTATTCACAGTCTGGGGACATTTGCCAAAAAGAGAAAGACAAGCAAAGGTCTTTGAGTCCACTGAATTAAGGGTGAAAAAAAAACTTCAAAAGAAATACACATTTTTCACTTTTCAAAAGTAATCACTATCCAAAGTCCAAAGGACTTTACCATTGTTCCATTTTTTTGTCAGCCTGGAAAAAGTCAAAAGTCAATAAATATATTTGGAGTTTTAGATTCATCTATTTTAAAGCATTCTTCACAACTTATTCTTGATCATGTGTACATGTATATGTGTGCATAAGTGTATCACTGTAAGTTATATATTTTAATGTGTACACATCATTGCTTTCTTTGAAAATCTAAAAGTAAGTTGCTTCATATTTCATCAATGAGCTTTTTTTTAATTTGCAAAATCCATTTGTTTTTAATTCAAGTGGACATATGTATCAGAAGCACCAGTATAAAGAAACCCTTCAGCATTTTCATACCATCTAGCAGATATTCCAAAACATTTGTGAGATTCTTGAACTTATTAGATGTATTTATTATTGCTTGGCTTCAAAATGACTCATTGCAAATGAATTATTTTGCCAGAAGTTTTCTTTTTTGGAATGCAAAGTAAAGGTGGAATGAATTTTGATAAACAAGGAAAAGGAATTTAACAGGAAAGAAAAACATTGGGTTAAACATTCCTTTAAAACTTCTAAGCCATTTTTAAGCCACTTTGGAGACTTACTGCAAGGTTACCAGGCAGAATTCATTTTGTTCATTCATTCTACACATATCTTCCCCCACCACATCTATACTTTGGAAGAACAGTGAACAAATCCTGTTGATAAAATGTTTTATCAAGAATGCTATTATAAACTTCAAAATAAAACAAAATATGTTTATAGTCACATAAAGTAAAATACTGATTAAAGAAATAAGCCCAAGATACAGCTGTACTCCAGTGAGGCTTAAATGTTGGATGATGTTCCAAGTTTGCAGAGCGAGAAGCAGAAATCAGAGAAGACTAATTTGCCTCCCCCCACCCTCTCCCAGTTATTTCAACAGCAGGAGAGATTTTTAGAGATTTTTCAGGGCAGAGCATATGACTCTAAAAGAAGACAAATATTGCTTAAAATTTTGAAAACTTGAATGACTGTACAATGTCCTAGGGAAAAAAAATGTAAGCTGATAGAGAAGAAACAAGGTAGATAAGGCATACAGAATTAGAAAATAAAACATAAGGGCAAAAATATTGTGATCAAGTTAGATATATGAATAGAAAGATGAAAGCTTGATTTGAAAACTGAATAACAAATTACCTAGCTGGTGGTTGACTGTACTGGCAATAAATACAGAATAAAAAATAAGGAGGAGTTTGATAAAGAGAAAAACTACACAGACTGTAAAGACTAGGGAAAGGAAGAAAAGCCTTGTGTGTCAAGCATGGAGCCAGGATCATCTCTATTTTCAGATAATACTTCTGGTAGAGAAAAGATGGCAATGGTACAGATGCAATATATTTAAACAGCTATGCAGGCTGGTTATAAAACTGAGCGTGTTTTCTTGGGTAGTCTACCAGTTTATGTCTTGAATTTTAATATCCTGATAAGCCAAAAATATATTTTGCAAGGTCATAAATAAAATCAAATCAGTGTTCTATTATGCCTATATAATATTTCCATTACTTTGTATATATCTATGATCGTATGATTTACTTAAAATGTTCCCTTTTAAAGGAGGTCTTATCCTTGCGATATTAACCTGGGGAGTAAATTTGACATCTAACGAAGTTGCTTGATTTTTAGGTTTTAAACTTAATTGTTTATTTGAATCTATATATGTAAGGTATACCAAACTTAAAGAATAATGTTAGAAAGAGGAAATATTTAATGAGAAAATTCTATCAAACATAACTTATACAGTACTCTTTTTTAAAGAAGAATTATTTTTAGGGAATTTTGTACCCTTGAAGATACAGAATTTTTATCATAACAGAAAGAATGAAATGAGTTCAAGGGCATCCTAAATAGGCAATGAAGCAAGCTCAAAAATTTTAATGAGTTGTATGCCTCACCTTTTGTTAGCAAACAGATTAATGAGTTACCTCAAGTAAATTAATAACTTGGAATGTTACAAAACAGTTCCCCAGGTTTGATCACATGGTCGACTTGGTGTATATAAACCTCCCCCCGCACATACTGACATTCACACTCAGGACCTTGTCTTGAATAGCACACTCAGCTTATCACTCCTGACACCATGAGCCACTACCGCAGCTACTACGGCGGCCTGGGCTACTATGGCGGCCTGGGCTACTATGGCGGCCTGGGCTACTATGGAGGCTTCCCTGGCCTGGGCTACAGCTATGGCTGTGGCTGTGGCAGCTTCCCCAGGCTGGGCTGGGGCTCTGGCTATGGAGGCTGTGGATATCGCTCTGGTTATGGATTTGGCTGGGGCCGTCCTTCCTGCTGTGGTGGATATGGATTCTCCAACTTCTACTGAAATCCTACTCTAGTAACTCATATGTGGATTTTCTAAAACATTCTGTTGTCAGTGGACTGAAATTGATCTAGGCCTATCAAGCAGTAAAATATAAGAATTTCAGACACTTCATTGTTTTTAAGTCTATCTTCATTCTTACGTGGGTAACTAAGAGTTAGTTTATGTTCAATTCTCAATAAATGATCTAAAATGAAACTTTAAGTATGGATTTTTGTTTGGTTTATTTTATTCAATTTTTATATATACTTATAAGCACATTTTGACCCTTCACAAGTAGAAATGCAATATGTACATGATTGTATATGCATACAAATATTTGTACATAAATTGACAGGGCATCCTGTGCACCATCATGGTGGGCTGAGCTGAGCAAACAGAGCTAAGTAACATTACTGAAGGTCAAGTTGTGTATCTGACCCAATAGCACAGAATTTCACTAGAAGCATTTTCTTCTGATTTGGATACTGTCTCCATGAGTTTCCATGGTGCTGAAAAGTTAAAAAATCAATATGATTATTACTGCTGTTGACATTCTTAGTAAAATCAATATTATCATAATTTAATCTTCTTTAAGATTGTATTGATCTATGTCTAAGCTGAGAGGACATATTTTGTATTTTTAGCAATAGTTCTTTACTTCTACAGAAAATGTAAAAATATTTTTCATCTTTCCATCCATCAAAATACGTAGAAACTTAGGCCATGAGTTAAAACAAATCTTTTGATCTAATTAATGGACAGAAAAATACTAGCTTGCCAGAGAATATCCCAATGAAAAGCTTTTATCATTTTTATACAGGAAAATACAGATTTGTTACATATTCTTCAAACTGTTCTTTTCTTGTTTGATAGCTAATGAAGAAGTTATGCATATAATAGTCACATGTTTTCTCCATTGAAAGTGCACTTAGTTTTTATTATATTATGGACATGTTTTATTTGTATCTCATATCATTTCCACATACAGACAGTCCTATGTATAAAAATCAAAAAGTAGTCTTTAATCATAGTCACATGCTCTGACAGAACTACCCAAGAAAAATGTAAAATCCTTAACTAAGTAATTTATCATTCGCAAGTAAATGGATGGAACTGGGGAACATCATCCTGAGCGAGCTTAGCCAGGCTCAGAAGACCAAAAATCATATGTTCTCCCTCATATGTGGATTTTAGATCAAGGGCAAATACAGCAAGGTGATTGGACTTTGGTCACATGATAAAGCAAGAGCACACAAGGGAGATATGAGGATAGGCAAGAAACCCAAAAAACATGATAGTATTTGATGTCCTCAGTGCAAAGGAACTAATGCAGAAACTTTAAAGTGACAGAGGCCAATAGGAGAAGGGGATCAGGAACTACAGAAAAGGTCAGTTAGAGATGAATCAACTTAGAATGCAATACATATGTGCATGGAAGCAATGCTAGGAATCTCTCTGTATAGCTATCCTTATCTCAACTAGCAAAAACGCTTTGTCCTTCTTATTATTGTTTATATTCTCTCTTCAACAAAATTAGAGATAAGGGCAAAATAGTTTCTGCCTGGAAGCGAGGAGGTAGGGGGGAAAAATAACCCAAAAATTGTATGTACATATGAATAAATGGGGAAAAAATAAAATAAAAATATTTCTTTTATCAAATTTTTTCTGAAATAGTGAATAAAGAATAAGAATATCCCACAGGATATTCTTAAATTATGCTATGGATGGCCTCTACTTTAATATCAGTTTAAAGTAATCTACTGCAAACAAAAAATATTTTTTGAGTGCCAACTAAAAGTGAGGCTTTATTTTGACATCAGTGAATAAAGCCATTGGGAAAAAAGAATATATTCCTTTCCAATTATGAATAAACTATTACAGGATTAAAAATGCCTTGTCCAAATATTACTCATAGATTTCAACACAAACTTAACAGTGTGATTATAATCATATAAAATAAATACATTTTATGAATCCCAGGTTTACAGATATGGGCACACCTGGGTGAGGCTTAATTAAGCATGATGTCAGTGGTGAGCACTGCCACCCCTCAGCTGAGCTGAGGGACATTGTCAAGATCAAGCCAATACCCGTCCCTGAAGAGCATTTCCTTATCCCCTGCTTTTTGTAATTGTAACTCACATTTAGAGAATTTAGCAAGTTATTCTAATTTATTCAAGTCCTTTTAAGGTTTGAGATGATTTTTAAGAGTCGAAATATGCTTTAAACAAGAAGCATTATTATCAGTGTCTTAAAAAACTCTCATTTTAGGAAAAGTTAGTTAGAAATTGCCCCAAAATAAAATGAGCACAGAGAAGGTGAAGTGAAATGTATTCTATTGACTGGAGATCTAAATGGAAGGGATACAATTTTGTGTTGAGTAAACAAGTTGTAGCTGAAACCATTTTGCCAGCCTCACAGCTTTACCCAGACACAGGGATGAAAAGTGGGGAAAAGGAAGTTGTTTGAAGTGAAATCTGAAAAAGATAGAAGATAAATGGGCTGATGATAAAATTTAGAGATGAAGAGAAAAATGATGTATGGAGGAGATGTCATCTTCTTTTGCAGGAGTGTGAAGCAAGATCTTACTGTGGAGAAAGGACAGAATCTGAAGGATTTGATCATTCTAATTGTCTTTCCAAATATGACTCCAAAAGAAGTATTTTGCATGCTCATGAATGAAGCCAAAAATAAATATGACTGTTGTTCAGGGTCAAAGTTTTAAAACTCTAGGAAGCATGTGGCACTTTGTTTTTCATTTATAATGCATACAGTTAGTGAGTCAAATCTTTGTTTCTCATGATACCAAATATGTGGGCCCTTTGAAGAAACTGAAAAACTTAAGACTCTTGACTTTGGCTCTTTCTCAAAATTTTGTATAGTCGATTATAACAACCTCCCACCAAAATCTCTGAGAATATATTTAATTACACATTCAAGAATACTTAATGTAACTGATGTTAAGTGGTTAGTAATAAAGAATTCTTAGAGTTTAGTATGTGTATACTTGCAATTCCTTCTAATAAAATTAAAGTAAAAAGCTGTGGGACACCCTGACTGGATTGCCAAACAAGCTGAAACATTCTTACCAGATGTTTGTTAAGTGACAATAGAGTAATGAGTTGTCTCAGGCAAGTATAATTCATGGAATGACATAAAAGGAGGGGCACACATTTTATCACGTGCTCTGACCAGAGCATATAAGCTTTGCTGTAAAGATGTTGATACACACACTCAGGATCTTTCCTTGAGCAGCAAACCCAACTCTACACTCTTGACATCATGAGCCACTACAGCAGCTATTACAGAGGGCTGGGCTACTATGGAGGCTTTGGTGGCCTGGGCTTTGGCTATGGCTGTGGCTGGGGCAGCTTTCCCAGGCTGGGCTATGGCTGTGGCTACAGAGGCTGTGGATATGGATCTGGCTATGGAAATTGTGGGTATGGCTTCTTCCGCCCTTCCTGCTATGGAGGATATGGATTCTCCAGCTTCTACTGAATGAATTGCTGACTTTGGAAGCAGAAAGGAAACTTCCAATGTGATTGGTCTTATCCTTTAGTCTTATACAGGAAGGATCCCCTCTATTTTATCTATCACCAATTGGTGACAGACATTTATCAATGCTGCATTCATCAATGCAATAAAATATTTATCGATATTTTATGAATATTTGGTGTCCTTTAATCTCCAAGACTTATAATTCAAATACATATTTAATATGTACAACTGTCTAGTATACTTCCTCATTTTGATTTATTTTTTTACCATTATTACCATATTATCCGTCAAGCAAGATCTTAGAGAAGACTTGTATTTTTCTTTCATCTAATAAAATCATCACAAGTATAAAGATTTTATCTTTTGCAATGTTTTAATTTTTATTATTTTAATATATTTTTGCAACTAAAAAATATAAACAGTTATGTCTATGATTGAAAAGTACAGTAGAATGAAAATGTTTCTAATCCATTATATTACATAAGATTAAGAACTTTAGGATGACATTTTAACAATAAGTGGAAGTAACTTGCTTCCATTTACTTCCTCAGGACATTTGCCCTCAGGTATCCCGTGATTACTAAGGACTGTGCCATTTTCTTGTTCTACTGTGTAATATTTGTGGTGAGCTGCATATCTTCTTGGTACCACTGCTCTGGCCAATCATGGCTTTGCTTTTTTCAAACCTTTGTGTTGGGGGAATGGAGGAGATTGGGAAGTATTATTTATTTCCTAGGCAAGAACTACACTCTATAGCTGTTATCTGCTGAGGGTTATTGTCATTATAAGGCTGATCAACTTGCCACTGCTAGTGGTACAGTGTTCTGTGGACAACTGGAGGCCACAGCTGGGGCCTTTTCTGATTCTTCTTTTACAGTCCGTTAGAGGGGTTTTTTTTATCTTCTTTTTTCATTATTGTGCTGGGGGTACATTGTGTTATTTACAAAAGTTCTTAAAATTTATCAAATATATCATACTTAAATTCACCCCCTCCCATTTTCCTTTAGCCTCCCTCTCCCGTATTCCTGGGATAGTCTCATTTTTCCATTTACATGCATGTGTACACAGTATTTGCACCATATTCATCCTCTTACACCCTTTCTCCACATCCTCTTGCCACCCAGAAATACCAACCTCCCAAGACAGGACCTGTTCTACCCTCCTGTTCTCTGATTCTGTAAAAGAAAAAAAATGATATTTTTGTTTGCTTAAGATAGCTATACAGGGAGTTTACTTGTGATGTTTCCATGCATGCATGTATTATAATCTGAATTGGTTGATTTCCTCTATTTTTCTTCCTTCTACCTTAGTCCCATTCTTATGGTGATTTCAACAGGTTTAAAAATTCTATATTCATTCTTTTATAGAAAGTATATTAACAATATTCACCTTCTTACCATCCTTCTTTTACCCTCCCTCTCTTGCATCTGACCTCCTGGTCTACATATTCTGAAGATCTTCTCACAAATGGGTGATGACAGAGTCAAATGTTAATTATACTTAAGATGTCCCTCTTGGCTGTCAGTTTTGGCCACATTAACAGTCAATGTCAGGTATCCTAGTTCTTTCTTTCCTTAGGATTTTCCCTGAAAATTTTTCAGTCCTTCCTGAGTAAATTGCATTTAGGCTTGTTCTACTAGTTTACCACTCCTGCCCAGGCACCTTAGAACCTCAACTGTGAACACTGATTGAATTCTTCTCCCATAGGCTTCTTAGCCAACTTTAAAAAAGTCTAGAGGAGCCTGTTCCACTAGTTTGTAGGTCATGACTACACATGTCTAAATTTACTTAAATTCTAGTTTGGACCCCTACTAATACCTGAGAATGTTTTGTCTTTCTGTAAATTTAAAGGAGGAAAATCACTATCTGAAAAATGTTTCACAGAAAAAGTATCATTTTACTTATATCATAATTCGGATTTTAAATTAAAAGAAACACAAAAACATTGGAATGAGGGAAGGAAGAAAGGGAAGGAAGAAGACAAGGAACGATTGAAACCTGGGAAGGAGGGAGGAAGGAAGGAAGAAAGGAGGAAAATAAGAAAAGCAAGAAGGAAAGAACTTATAATTCAGAAGCTCAGTCATTTATACTTACAGAGAATGTTGTGTATATTTCTGTGAGGATGGAATGAAAAACAAAAGTACACTTACCTAAATACTGTTAAACTGGAAGGCACAGATTCAGAATCTCTAGTAGCTCCCCTTAGCAAGCATCATAATCAATTTTACCAGTGAAATTTTGAAATCTGAAACTTTGTATGTCTAAGTTCCTTACACAAAGCTAGTCAGTTAGTTATTTTATGCTTTAGCCAAAAGGGCAGCAGAATGATCCCTGTATATTAATAACTACAGTTACTATTCTGTATGATTTATATCTTTGAGTTTTCATTTATCATTGTCAACTCTAATATTTAATGACATGTAAACACCCATTTATATTTATTCTCTAAGGGATGTAATTATATATGAAGGTTGTCCTGATAAATGCATTTTAAAAATGGTGGCTTCTTTTAAAGAACCATTATTCAGAATGTAAACTATGTGATTGCTCAATGTAATTTTCTCCAGACAGATATTACTTTGGCTAAAGATGACCATGTATATCATGCACATTAGGTTAAATTTTATTCTCATTTGACTCCTGTTCTTAACTGTCCAAATTCTACAAATTTGATTTGTACCCAAGAACAATTAGTGCGTCTCCTGAATGTCATGGGTTTTAGAAACACAGAGCAAATGCCTAGCTCACAGTCTTGGTCAGATTGCTAAATTGGGAACTAGAACCATGGAACACATTTTTAAATTGTAGTCACTAAATGGTTCCCTTGGGAGAAATGAATGTTTGTTTATACCTATTTCATCAGTAAAATGTTAGAACATATGTTTCTTCTGAAAGCAAGAAGGGAGTAAGTTTTCAGAAGAAATATAAAGGTTCTAATTTTGAAGAAAGCATAATAGTGTTGTGTGTACCCAGCATGGTGGTGAGTAGTGCCTACATGATTTAAGATCTAAGACTGTTTAATACTAAAGGATAAAACTGCAGGGCAAATAATTTCTTGAAACTTGGATACAAAAAGTGAAATTTCTTAGCTTTACTGAAAAGGGTTTTACAGACATAAATCATGATCACTTGTTATTATGGAAAGCAAATTGGTCACAGGCTACTAATGATGAAAATCAATTTGAGAAAACTTTACTCAATTAAATGCTATATTAATATAAAGAAGGGTTCAATGGATACTTAAACACAGATATTTATAGAAAAAAGTTCTGATCATGTTTTTAAGTCTGAATACACATATCTTTTACTTTTATATTTGTTGGAAATACGTTCAACAAATACCATTACTGGCCTCTGAATTTGGGGGACTGGTGTGAATCAGTGGAGTCTCCAGGTCTATCTGTGGGCTTAGAGATACTATCATGTATTTAGTTATGTCATGCACTTTACTATGGACTTTAGAAATCCTATGGCTTGATCATTATTCACACAGCCACTCAGTCAAAATTTAGAGAGGCTTCCAACATCCTTTTCTCATCTCTATATTCAATTGATGACTGTTTGTGCTAGCTCTTTATGATATCTATCTATATATCTGAGTATATTTATACTACTTTGTTTTGCTTCATTTGGTTCTTTTTCTAATAGTATAGTCATTATTTGTCACTTAGACTATGTCTATACCTTCTCATATATGTCCATCTGGATTTCTGAACTTAAGACCTGCCACTTTTTGTTAGTCCCTCTGTTAAAACTCTTTTGTTTAAAATGGTCCCTTTTATCTCTTATTGATATGACATACAATGGTGCTATTTTAATGCAGCTCTCAAAATGGAAATAATGCTGAGATAATTCAGTTAAAATACAAGTTGTAGAAGAGTGTGGGACATAGAGTGAGTCCACAAGTTATGACTTTCAACCAACATGAACTGAATTAGTTTGTGTGTTTTCATAAATGATTCATAATCTTCGTTAACTTCCTTCCTTTCTACTAGCTCTTCCTTCACTTCAGATGGCCTTCCCTTCAGATCTCATAGTGATTTTCTATTCATCTTAAACAGTCAACTTATGAACTGTTTCCATTGTGATGCCTTCCCTGATTCCAGCAGGAAAATGACAGCATAGTGAACAAATGTCACTTCCTCATGGGGGAAGAAGCCCAGATATCCAAGGGTCTCTAGTCTCTCATGTAACTTTTTCTTCATGACACTTATCAGTAGTGGTTGTTGTGCACTGGCTTCTTTACTCACTGTCTTCCCTAGGGAGGGGAAACTCCATATGGTCTGAGATTTACACTTTGTCTTCTCTGCATCCACCAGGCTTAGAACAATGTCTGGCCTACAGATAGTAGTTCAGAAAAATTGAACTGAATAAATATATCATAGCAAAACCTATTGATTATTTATTTACATGCCAGTTTCCTCACTGAAGAATTTCTTGAATGATCCAAATAATGAAAAAGACAAGCTTTACTTTCATGTTAAATAAACATCATGCATTATTTGTCTTTTTCATAGATATTCAGTACCACCTAAACTGTGCTGGGCATTCTGCTAAGGATAGGGGAATAACCTTAAGCCAAAGTCAACATAACAAATAATAGAATTTCATATTTTATCTGATTTGGTTCCATTCATTATGATACTTAAATTTCAGATGGTATGATGGAGATACTATTGTTCTTCCTATGCAATAGATGAGGAAGTTGTAGTTTGGTGATCTTAAATAAAATCCTAAATCTTGGACAACAGTGAATTATACAGTAATAACAACCTATGATTCATTAACAAGTAAAGGAGTTCTGACTCTAAGCATAAGTTTCAGTGAATGTTCCTGAAGTAGATTCTGTCTCATAGGATAGCACTAGCCACATTTAAGAATGCCAGTCTCTGAGCAAAATTCTTCTGGGCAATCATTAAGAGAAATTAAACCTTAATCTCTGTTTCCAAAATTACAGCTGCCCACTAATTTCAACTGTTAGTCAGCCTATAACACAATGC